CTTCTCCCCACAGAGATGGAGCAACTGTTCAGAGAAAGGCTAGAAGAGCCAGAGGTTCTTTTCAAACCCAAGGGATTTCTGACTTTGACAATAAAAAAGAAAATGATTAGTTTTGTCCATTTGATGGCCTTAAGCACCCAACAGAAAGTCTAAGCAAAGATTAAAATAATCGATTGTGTGTGTTTTTTTTAAACAATCCAAAGGGTTACACTCCTCAAACCTTAAGCTTAAATCCATATGAGATGTTATTTAGGAAACTGTTTCTCACTAATGACTTTCCTCATGATAAGAATAAAGCTACTCAGATATAAGACTTTAGACAAGTAGTTCTCAACCTTCCTAGTGCTGTGGCCCTTTAATACAGTTCCTCATGGTGTGGTGACCCCCAACCATAAAATTATTCCATTGCTACTTCATAACTGTAATTTTGCTACTATTATGAATCGTAATGTAAATATCTGATATGCAAGAGATCTGATATATGACCCTCCCAAAGGGTCGTGACCCACAGGTTGAGAACCTCTGCTTTAGACCCTGAGTCAGTTCAACACTACAGTGCCTACCTGCAACCCAGAGAGACAGGCCCCTTGCTCTTTGCACCTAAAAATTGAATGATGGCTAATTCCCCCCCACCTCTCTCTTCTTTAGAAGCCACCCTTGAGGGACCTCACACTGTCATCCTAGCCACTCCCACAGTGATCAAGGTGCTGGGATTCATCACTTAGAGTCCATCAAGAGATTCTAAAGGACTTTGATTTAGACATCTTAAAGACCTCTGCTGTCTGGCTTCCCCTGTTCCTTGCCTAGAAATTGGAATGCTAATAACCCTCGCTTTTTACTTCTTCCCATCTCTCTCCAGGCACACATCAGTAACTTCCTTTCATCGGTATATCTGACATTTGTACAAATCAAACCACAGAAACACTGTCGGGGCCCTGGAGGGGTGTGTGGACTGTCACAACGGATGCTCCCGTTCAGCTAGAAGAAGCTGGATTGGTTACTACCCAATTCCCTATCGGCAGTTAGGGTTACCTCTTCAGAAAGAGGAAAATGGTAGAAACAAGAGGTAGAAACTGGCTAGGCATGTTAGGGTAAAAAACAAAACAAAACAAATCAAAACAAAACAAAACAAAACAAAACAAAACAAAACAAAAACCAACCAAACAAAAACCAAAAAAAAAAAAAAAGCAAGCAGTTTCTTTCCTGGCTAAAAGCCAAACTTGGGCCTCTCAGCAACCACATCTTGGCTACAGGACAAAATGCCAGGGCCTCTGAGTTTTGACCTGGTTCCTAAATGATTTGGGTGATTACCTCTACAGAGCGGGGAGATATTAGAATAGCTGTAAAGGCCTGCCAAGGGAAATTGCATTCTGGCCAAGAGAATAGAATCTCTGGCTTGAGTGAAGACCTCATATTCTTTTAAAAATATTTTAAATTCTTTAGAAAATACATTGAAAATGGCGTGGGTGAGGTTGCTTTGTGTTGCAGTGTCTGCTTTGTGAGCACTTGGAGGGTGTTTAGGTGCTTATTATAGGGAAATGATAAATAAAATGTGGTGGGTATATAGTCTATATTGCTAAGCTTGAAGTAGGGCCTACACAGAGCAGCATGGATGGATTGCAAGACCATAATACTGGGTAGAAAAACCAGGAAAGAGAACTGTTGCGGTAAAATAAAAATAATTGCACACACCAAATGATACCATTTGTCTTAGAAGAGTGCACGCCTACAAATGCATATTAAACATGTACATAACTTGTATGGAATAATGATCGTGCACATTGGAATAAGAAGTCTGATGAATATAAACCTGAGATGACCAAAGTCTTCGTGCCCCCTCAGATGTTTGTATTCTAAAGATTGCATTCCCAGATGTAGGTTTTTAAGCACCAGCCAACGAATGGGAAGTAGACTCATTCATTCATTAAACATCTATTCATCATCTGCAATATGCTGAGCATCATTCTAGGTGCTAGGATTGTTATAGAGAGTGAAGCAGCAGAAGGGGACCTTCAGGTTAGGGATCCTGGCTAGCTCCTCCTGGCATAGATCCAAGATCATCCATGAGTACAGTCTGTCTGGGATCTGGGAACATGGCGCTGATGTTACTCTTTATCTGGGGTGACTTGAAAATTCGTGAAGAGACCCCCTAGGGAAAAAGCCTGTTGTGATCAGAAGTTATTCAGTACATAGGTCTCTTGCTTTTGTTTTTACAGGAGCCTCTCTATGCTACATCTGCATTTTAACAGCAACCACTTTTTGATATTCTCTCTACATCTGTTCAGAAACCTACACACAGAGCCCGAGATTACATTTTGTTTTAGTGAATCTTAGTCAAACCCATGAAATCCCTGTATGCTGACATTGACATTAATAGTCTGTCCATTGGAGAATATGACACATGGGATATATGTAGCTATTAAAGACTGCTTTGCAATTGTCTGTCATTTTTTTCCTCTCACAGTTATTTATTCCCTATCCAGAGACAAGAATGAAGCTAGTAACCAACAACCAGGTCAAACTCCAATTTAAGAAGATCCATGAAGGCAAACTGCCTCTATTTCCCCGACGATGGTAAATTATTTAAATCCACAAATCTACATATTCATTTAGTATGTTTTTAATCAGTCCCCTCCAAAGGGTGTAACGGTGCTGTAGTTGGAGTTACAAAGACGAAAGAGACAGTCTCCTCCAAAACATATAATTCAATGGTGTCAACATCTGTTTTCCAATGGAAATAAATTCATGTATGCTTCTTAGTTTCCCACGCCAAACAAGAAAAGCCAATTTAATCCACAGAACAGCTTAAGTTGCACGCTATTTTTACATGGCAATCTGGCCAAAGATCACCAGGCTTCATATGCCAGGCAATCAGATATGGAAGAATTTCCTTAATATTTATTTATTTATGGGCTCATGAACAACCCCCTAAAATGTCTAGCATTTGTTTAAGATTTTTGAATTAAAAGTATCTTTTAAAATGAAAAGCAAACACAGCATATTATTTCTAACATGCTATTTTGAGCAAGTAGATACAGTGCGGAATGGCAAAGTTGAGCTAACACCAGCATTAACCAATATGCTAATGCTTTGTTGTTGTTTTTTTCTGGCAAGTAAACTTGGAATCTGTGCCTTAATCTTCAAGCACATAATATATTGTTGCAACTACTACAGTCAACTGCTGTACAACAGAGCTCTTGAGCACACAGTCTTCTTTTTATCTGATGCTTTATGCTTTTTGATCAGCTTCTTCCCACCCTCTCACTCTCGGTCCCCGACCACTGCCTTTCCACTTTCTGCATCTGTGAGCTCCAGGTTTTAACTTTTTTACTAAACAATTTTAAATTATCAGTCTATGTGTATGGGTGTCTCACTTGCATGTATGTCTGTGCGCCACCCACTGCCCGATGCCTGTGGAGGCCAGGAAAGGATGTCATAAGATCTCCTGGAAGTGGAGTTCCAGACAGCTGTGGGTGCTGAGAATCAAATCCCGTTTCTCTGAAAGAATAGCAAATGCTCTTCATCACCGAGGCATCTCTCCGGCCCCACGTTTAGTATTTTTTAAATTCCGCTTATGAGTGAGGTCATGTGGCCTTGTTCACTGTCACCCTCCCTTGGAGTCTGTCTCCTACAGTGACATCAAAATGCTAAAGTCCTCACCCTGTTTCGGCTCTTCAAGCTGGCACCTCTCAAGAGATCAAGAGTCCACCATCATTTAAGTCCTTTCTTCCGCTCTTTGACACTTTCGATCTCAATGAGCTGGAAGGGGAAAAGTCTCATCGATGTGACTTTCATTACTTCACATTTCTTCCCTGCTGTAGACACTTGCCCAGTGATAGCCTTTCTTCTGCTCTGCTCACTTCCTTGGGAAAGAATTTTTGAGTCTAGTTGTAAAGTGTTATTGGGGATTAAATGTACTCACAGTGAATTTAAGTCAACCCGTGATGCCTGTATTTTCTTCTTCAGATATCTACCTGTATAATACAAATTATTGTCAGATCATTTAAAAATAACATTTTGAGGCTTGTGTGCACACAAATAAAATTTCAGAATGGAGTAGTGTACATATAGTACTAGTTTATTAAACGTCTCTGTTAAAAATGTTGACTGGATTGCTCACTACCAATATTTCCAAACTTAAATTGATCCTGGTTATGATTTTATGAGTAAATCTTTATATTTTCACTTGCCATAATCGTTGGATCACTCAAAAATAGTCTTTGTCTGAGAACATTCTGTGGGAATAGGACCTGTGAGAAAGCAGTTATATTAGCCAACATTGTTATTTTTAAAAACTAGTTGTAGTTTTAGCATTCTGTATACTTAAAAAAAGAGATAAAAATTATTTTAGCAATTGAACTAATCTCCCAGTTTTTGTTATTGCTTATTTGAAAGCACAGAATATAGGGCATGGGTCTTTTATTTCTGGTCACTTCTAAAGAGATAATAATCTATGATGTTGGGAGGAAAGCAAGTCCGTGACCAAAACGCTGACTCAGTTGCTACAGGAGATCAAAGACTACTATACTCAATGAGAATCTACGACGACAAAGCAATTGTTTTCTTTGAAAAAACATGTAGAGTTTAGAGGACTTCTGGGATTTGTCTGCAAAAGCACCTTCTGGGCTCGAGCAGTGACGTTTTAGGAAAGCCTTCACATCTCAAGGTGGGAAGGCTAGGAGGTGGCTTTCTGTGACCTCCTAGGTGGTTAGGGGGTTCTCAGAAGACAGAACTGGAAATTAGATAATGTCTGATGTCATATGGTTCAGAATACCAAAAAAATCGGGTGTCCCGAGGGCTATAAAAGCAGCAACTCCTGCCTCACCCATCACAAGCAGAGCCACCAAAGCAGGTAAGTGTCCACACGGAGGCAATGAACTGATCTGTTTGGTGGGATGCTATCCTGGCTAACTCGTTTCCCTCACGTTTCTGCCTCTTGCTCTCTCGACAGCAGGTTCTCCTTTCTCGGTTATCAACTGTTCACATTTGAGTTGTCTGTGATGGCCTTCCTGCAGAAGTCTATGAGCTTTTCCCTTATGGGGACATTGGCCATCAGCTGCCTGCTTCTCATTGTCCTGTGGGCCCAGGAGGCAGCGGCGCTGCCCATCACTTCCCACTGCAAGATTGATGCGTCCGACTTCCAGCGGCCATACTTCACCAACCGCACCTTCATGCTGGCTGAGGAGGTACACAGGCATCTCACTTTCTCTTCATGTCTACTTGGGACTCAAGGAGCCCTGGCCATTTTCTTTGAAGCCCTTGTGAGCTCTTGAGCTATATTTTATCTGCATAGGTAGAGACTTTCCATATCTCTCTAGAGACTCTTTGAGGACCTGATCTTAATCAGAACTCTTTTCTATTTGGTCTTTAGGGTGCATAGAGTGTATTTTATCCACAGGGGAGCCATTAGAAAGTCATCCATTATTGACTTTTCACTTCTCTGTGCACTGTTCTGAACTTACACGTCGAGTGGCTGGCCATTAGACCCTATGGGAGCGTACATCTTTCCTTACAGGCTTTCCTTCCACTTCCTCATCAACCAGGCACTTAGACTTTTCTCTCTTCCAGGCTAGCCTTGCAGATAACAACACAGATGTCCGGCTCATTGGGGATGAGCTCTACCGGGGAGTCAAAGTAAGTTCTCATAGTGATAAGCAGGGAGAGTATCCAGCTCGCGGTTAGCTGCCGTAGTTGATGGGTCCTCTGGGGTGTCCTGTAATATGACCCCTGCTGCTTCCTTTCTGCCTTCAGATGCAGGATCGATGCTACGTGATGAAGGAGGTGCTCAACTTTACCCTTGAAGAAGTGCTGTCCCCCCAGTCAGACAGATTCCAGCCCCACATGCAGGAGGTGGTGTCCTTCCTGACCAAGCTAAGCAACCAGCTCAGCCTCTGTGTGAGTTTTTCTCTTGACTCCATCCGTCTCCTCTCATCTTCTGCCCTCCTCTCCCATTCCAGTTAGAGCCCGTGACCCTCCCCTCTCTCCTTCCCAACCCGGGCAGAGAGGCTGGCAGCGAGGAGGGTCTCAGTAACATCAGAGGCCACTTGAAATCAGTCACAATTGCTTTGGCACAGAGCAAAAATCGAAGGGGAAGAGGAAGATGGGAGGGTCTCAGGGTGGGGGTGTGTGCAAAGCGCACTCCTTTGTGTTGGGACTGGAAGTTGAGAAACATCAGTGTATAAGCTTGATACCTCCAGACACCCCAAACTGTGAACCATGTCCATGAGGAGTGGGCAGATTGAAGGAGACCTTGCATTTACTGGGAGGAGGACCCACTTTTCATGTAAGGAGCTTCATGCTCATTTCTTGAGCTTGGCTCCCACCTTTGATGAGGTTCAGGTGGAGGTTTCGTTTCTACCATTCTGGCCGCTGGTGGAAACCTCAGTAGGATTCCCCAAAGATGAGGACAGCTCTTCTGTAAGGGGGGTACCTGGATTTCAGTGTCCCAGAGAACAAAAGAGCTCAGAGAATCTAGGTCACCAGTGAAATCTAGGTCACTGTGGGCAAAAATTACCGAATGCCTCTATTCCAGGTGAATGGTCATGTGCCTCAGATGCACTGAGGTATAGGCTGCAACACAACAAGATTCTGTTAGTGAATTCTGTTTTATTTTGCAGCGCATCAGTGGTGATGGCCGGCGCATCCAGAAGAATGTACAAACAATGAAGGAAACAGTAAAAAAGGTACTATTGATATGTGATATACTAAGCCATTTGTCAGGAGAAGCATAGATTTCTTCTCCCCTTTCTCAACTTTTTTTGGGTAACATTTTACTTGATTCTTCTACTCTCTGATCCATTATTTGCTTAGCTGCATGTGCATCTAGCTGGGCCTATACATCACTCAGCCTGTTTCTAAATTTGTAAGTCATACATTCTAGAGCTAGCAGAAAACTTAGCTCCGCTAGTATCATTAGCCTGGGCTCTGAGGGTGGCGGGCGGCAGAGCCAATGCTGGAAGGCAGCACTCCTGAGTCCCAACTCAGCACTTCCCCAGCAGCCATTTGTAATTATTTTAGCAGGATTAATCCTTTGGGAGAGTCTCGCTTTCCACTGATTCATAGAATCTGAAGAAACACACAATGAAAACCAGAAAGCTAGGTGCAAACTTACTTGATGTGATTTTTTTTGAAGTCATTAAACTGATGCTTTAAAATGTGGCAAAAAAAAAAAAATCAACCCAGAACAGTCACAAAAGAGCTGGACTTCCATATAGGATGAATATTTGGAATCACTGATAGTAATAGCTATAATCAGAATTATAATATAGTTCCTGATAGTGACTGATTTAAGATTAAACCCAAGAGTGGATAACCTTCCAATTTATTTTTACATGGTTTCAATAGAGTAAAACTATTAGTCGTGAATTTATTATAGTGAAATGGAAGTATGAGTTGGAAATTCTTTTCTTAGTCTTTACTTTCATTTTTTTAGATTTTTCCCTTACACCCCCAACAAGCCACTAGTGAGCACTTATCTACTGTGAGCTAGTGTATAACTTTACAGTGATCGGCATCACTGTGTGGCCTTTTTGGGGGAAAGAACAGTAGCAGGAGACTCAGGTCAGCAAGTGTGACTCACCCTAAAGCCAGAGGTATGATTGTCAGCAGTGAAAGGGAGGCTCTTTGCAGGTGGCTGCCATGAAATACTCTGAAACACAAAGGCTCCAGTTGAAGGAATTATCAGCACTATGCCTAGCCTGATCTCCTTCTTCTATCTAACCTTAACATTGAGGTAGTTTGTTAAAGAAAACTTGAGCGTAGTCTGTTAAACAAAACTGGTTTCGTCCTTTGAGTATTAAAGGCGTTGTAGCTTTTCAGTGCCGTAAGGGTTCTCTTGTTAGAGCGTTGATGATGTCGATACACAGGTTTGGGTGTTAGCACGCCAAAGATGCATGCACACTTCAGACGCTTGTTTAAAAAGTTATTGTTGTTCATCTATCTACTTTGGTGTCTTTGGAAAGGTGAAGCGTGCAAGAAAGATCTCACAGGAGACATGATCTCTGCATAAAATATTTTTTTTTTAAAAAAAACCTGTATTCCACTTTCAATCAGTTTCAACTTTTGCACCAAGCTGCCACGTGGGAGATTGATTAGGCTCGAACCTGTGGCTCTAGAAAGCACCAGCAATGGGGGGAAAGGAATGTCACTCATAGAAAGCTGTGTAGCCAGAGGGAACTAACTGGTCAGGACTGCCTGGCACAAGAAGGGGGCAGGCATTAGGTAGGGACAGCAGAGGGCGGGCTCATGGAGTAGAATGGATGGCAGAATGGGGTAAGATAAGCCGTAAGATTTCATAGATTTGGGAGTCTTGATGATACAAAAATAACATGTTTAGCATCATAAGGAAGGAAGTCTGGGAAGGAAATGTGGGAAGAATCAGGAAGGGGGAAGAGAACAAAATGTAGAGGGCCACCAAGAGGGGATTTTTCTTGGAACAATCTAGAACAAGGATAACGGATTAGGTGGATTTCAGAGGGACGTGCTTTGCACTTGAATTCAGGTTTTTGCCCCCCATTGATTTTAAGAGTTTCACCCTTATCACACTTGGGTGTAGGAGGAACAAAGGAACGTTCATATGATTCCTATCTGGGGTTTTACCAGTTAAAGCTATGGAAGAGATATGCTTGACACCCTCTTTACCAAAATGAAAACCTGCTTTATCTGCTGTGTTTCTCCTCTTACAAAGGTGAGCGCAGACCAAGCCCAACTATGTGGGTACATATGTGGGTCTTTGAGTCAAGGCTGTTCGAGTTGAGCAGTCATCAGTAATGGGTCATAGACAGGTGCAGGGCTATGTGGCAGGTCAAGCCTTTGCAGGGTAGCACTTAGCATCTTCAGGTCTCAGTATGGCTTCCTGCTGTCCAGGATGGCTAGGAGCTGAGCAAATCTTTTCTCCAACCCCCCACTCACATCTATTTTTAATTGGCAAACGATTGTGTAATTTGCGGGATACAGCAGGATGATTTTTATCTATGTGTGCATTGTGCAAGGTTCAAGAAGGCTGATTAACACACCCATCAACAACTTTGTTAGTGAGAAATGCAAGTAGTATGGAATGCCTGTGCATGAAAGTTCAGAAAGGCACGATTTTTGAGGTCTTTGGCAAACCACATTCTGCTCAGGCTAAAAGTGCATTATTGTTGGTTATTAATCTTTTAGAGAAGGCTGACACTTGGTTTTGGTGCAAACCATGCTTCTAGTTCCTCCTTAGCAAACCACATAGGTCCTCAAATCGGTCCGTGCTCTTGTTTTCACAGCTCGGAGAGGGCGGGAAGATCAAAGTAATCGGCGAGCTGAACCTGCTGTTTTTTTCCCTGAGAAATGCTTGTGTCTGAGCGAGAGAAGCTGGAACATGAAGGACGGGCCCTTCCTGCCTGTTACAAGCAACGATAAGACTCCTGAAAGGACTTTTTTCATCAAGGAAAGTGAGAAGCTAAACCCCACCATCATCAGAAGATTCTACACGAAACCCGGCTCAGTTGAAAAAGAAAACCAATGTCATGTTGTCGTAAGACCAGATGTAGACTTTCTAACCACAAAGATTCGTTGATAATATTTTATTGTAATTGATGATACAAGAGAAAAATAATGTGTTTTTTTAAAAAAAATGTGTTTTAAAAATGAAAGGGATAACTTCTCATTCCTTTAGAAAAAAGCCTATGTAACTCCATTTCCATAATCAATATTTTATGTAAGTTTATTTATTATAAGTATGCATTTTATTTATGCCAGTTTATTAATATAGATTTATTTATAGAAACCATCTGATATTGCTATTTGAGTATAAGAAAAATAATATTTATGATAATATTATGGAAACATGATCTCTTGAGCTTCAATAAAAACATGAGTATTATAAATCTTCTGTCTTTGTGTTTTTTCTCCTTTAATCAGTAATATCATCATCGCCATCGTTATCCAATCAGTCTCATAACTCTATGCTTGGTCTGTGAATATGAGGTAGCTATAGTATTACATTGCTAACGTTTGTCCCCAGAGGCCTGTGGCTTTGTGTGTGGCGTGTGCTTGTGTGTTTGTGTATGTGTATGTGTGTAGTAGGTGCATGGCCATGCGTATGAAAGCCAGAGATAGATATTGGGTGTTCTGCTTTATCAGTCTATGTTGAATTATTTGAGACAGGGTCCCTCACTGAACTGGCTGCCAGAAAATTCTAGTAATTCATTCTAGTCATTGTCTCCCACGTCACTGAGGCTACAGCCTTGTGTGGCCATGCCTGGCTTTTTATATGGGTGCTGGGGAATCAAACCCAGGTCCTCATGCTTTTACATTAAGCAGTCTTACCCTCGGGACCATCTCCCCAGCCCTACAAAGCATGCGTGAAAGGCTTAGTTTCCAGGACAGTGGTTATGGAGAGATGATGTAGCCTTTAGGTCTGGTGGTGATTTTCATGCCAAATGGGTGTACGCTTGAAGGGGATAATTGGATAGCATCTCCTTCTACATTCTTTTGCATCGTGGGCATGAGGTAAGTGACTTCGTTCTGCCGTGTACTCACGCTGTGACAAATAGCCTGGCTACAGGCCCAAATACAGTTGACCCAGTTGGCCAGGAACTGAAATCACTGATACTATGATAGAGATAAACCTTCTCTCCTTGCAAGACAGTTGCTTCTTATAATATTTGTTGCAGTGGTATAAAGATAACACCCATGCTCGACCACATACACACACCCATACTTGCACACATACACACACATGCATGTGCGCAAACACACACACACACACACACACACACACACACACACACACACACACACAGAGCCTCATTTTAAGGATGAGAAAATGGTATCAGAGACATGTGAAGAAATGTTTTATGAACATAGTTGACCCTTGTTGAAGCAGATTTATCTGATTTGAAGACCCTCTTCTACATTTTTGATACAGCATGTGATTCTGAAAGGGAAAAAGATGTTGGATATGTTCCACATATACTATTAGCTGTTTATGGATAAAACAGAAAGGAAATGTGAATGGAGAGGAAAACACGTACCCCTGGCTTGTGCTAAATGAGCTGTCCCATTTCCAGGCGAGACCTACTAGGAAGGGCATTCCTCAGTCTTCCTGAAAAGAAATTAATGCACTGTGTTTGGGTGGGTAAGTTTCTCTGAGAAATGGAAGGACCACTTAAACAAGGTTTTTGTATCCAAAAATGGGGGAGACATAGGATGAAACATACAAAGAGAAAGCTGTGCATCTTCAAAATCCAGACTGTGGTACAGAGGAGGGAGGGAACAGGGAAAGACAAAAGGGTTAGATTAGGAGACAGGACACCAGCACAGCAGAGCCACTAGGGAGAAGGGAAGTTAGTGATCGTGTGTGTCTTTTCACAGAAGGTCAAAGTTACTAGGTAGAAAAAGTTACTCACTGGCTGTCTGAAGTGTTTTCTTCTACAATCTGGTGCCACGAGTCTACTCCTCGGGCCATTTGTCAGTGATTTGCCAACCTCCCACAGCATGAGGGGGTGAGCAGTGAGCCTGTCTGTGAGAACTGCATCTCCTTCCTGGCCAAACCAAAGTTAATGCTCCTGTGCTTGCTCTCCAGATGGGGAGAGATGCAGCAGGGAGCAGCTTTGTGGTCTATTGAATTGTCATTTTCTTGGGGATAAGTTGATGTTGTGGTTTAAATGGGAATAACTCCCATAGACGTGTGTATTTGGATGCTTGGTTCCCGAGTTGTTGGAACTGTTTTGGGGATATGACCCTGGAGGAGTTGTGTCACTTGTTGGGGTGTGTTTGGAGGCTTTAAAAAGCCCATGCCATGCCCAGCTTGCTTTCTCTGTCTCCAAGTTTCTTATAAGATGTAAGCTCTCAGCTATTGCTCCATCGCCCTGACTGCCTCCCATCATGTTCCTCTCCATGATGATCATGGGCCAACCCCTGAAACTGTAAGCAAGCCTCCAATGAAACATTTTCTTTTATAAGATGCCTTGGTCACGGAGTCTCGTCATAGCAGTAGAGTAGTGATGGATGCTGTTTAGGGTGTTTGCGTTTCTCTTCCAAGTGAGTTCCAGCGCAATGATTTGAGCAGACTTTGAATTGCATTTGTTCTAGGCTAACCTTTTAAAAACTGAGCCATGACTGGAAGGATATTTATCACCAAAATTGGGAGGTTTTACTAAGAGATGTTTAAAAAGTCTTCCTATGATGTCAGACAACATTCAGAAGCAGATAGCAACAACTATGGCTTCCTCTGATCCAGCGTGCTCACCTTGAATGTGCCAGAAATTTCTCTGTGTTAACTCTGAAATAACGGCTGGATCTTCTCATTCCTCAAATGGCTAACTCTCCTCTAAGCTGTGACTATTTCTCCACCAATTAAATTATTCTGATAATTTGTGAGTGTCCTCCCTGCAACTATTTGTTTTCTATCTTATAGCCATGTAAATGAGAAAACACAAAACATTAGCCTGGGCATTCTCCTGTTGCTGATGGCTTACCATCACACTAATCATGAAATCCATAGCTCTTATCATGCCACGCCCCTGCCATCCTGATTCCGTCTCACTCCATCCTGATTCCTTCTCACTCATGTGCATCCTCTCTGCTTCAGTCATGTTTCTCTCTACCTTACAGGCTCCGCCATATGTCAGTCATCAAAATGGTACCTGGTAGTAGTCCTTGTATCAGTGGCAACAAAATGGCTGCATCCTTTAAAGCTGGTCTGTCATGCAGGAGTTACTGTCATACCAAATTCCCCCACTGGATTAAAAGCTCATGAAAACCATGTGCTTGTCTTATAGTAAGGACTGATAGTCTGTTCTCACCAGGGACTACTGGTCTACCTTGTGGTCTTGGCACTGGCTTCTCCTCACTCCAGAGGGTCAGGAGTGGATTTGTGGGCTTCTGCTTACTTTTTTCTGCAGTCTGTCTGTTTCTCCATCTTTTTAGCTGTCCCATTGCTTTTTCCTCTGTATCTTGGGTATAGAGTGTATGCTTTGCTACTCAAATGCTTTTTATTCACAGAGTCTTGTAGAGGATTTTTTTTAACTGCCATATTTGCCCAGAAGTCTTACAATCCATGTTTTTTTACCTTAGGTCTTGAGAAGAGCTATAAGAAAAAGAATAGTAGTGCACATGCTTTCTATTAATTAGATGTCATTTTTTTTTTCATCTCGTTCCCCTATATCAGTGGTTCTCAACCTGTGGGTCACAACCCCTTTTGGGTTGAAAGACCTTTTCACAGGGGTCGTCTGCATGTCAGATATTTACATTATGAACCATAACAGTAGCAAAATGACAGTTATGAAGTAGCAACGAAAATAATTTAATGATGGGGGTGGTCACCACAACATGAAGAACTGTATTAAAGGACCACAGAATTAGGAAGGTTGAAAATCACTGCCCTATATGAAGACTACTTATAGTGGATAGTATTTTATTTTTAGATAGAAATCTGACCACATTGACATCATGTAATACTATAGTAGCTGATGAAATTCCATTAGTTTTCTGTATTGGAACATAGCTTTTTTCTCCATCCTTTCAGAGACAAGAGTGGGTCCTACATACAAGGAAGATGAATTATGCTGTTCGGCTCTTTCGTCTCCTTCCCTCTCCTTTCCCATACTGCTTTGCACCCAGAGGCACTGGAACAGACTGCTTTTACCCACACGCTCGCTTTCTGGATTTCGCTTGCACTTGGTTTATGGACTAGGTGAGCAGGAGGCTGAGGAATGAGAATGAGGTCAAAACCCTGACTCCCCGGGGCTCTCCTGCTGGGTTGCTGTTCACATCAGCAGAACATTTCTCTGAAAAGCCAAAGCTCCCTCAACCATTCTTTATATTGCTCTTTCTGCGGCTGTTCTGGTAATTGCTCTTAACTCGTCCCCAGTGGGCTTTCAGCTCCTGTGAGCGCTACAGAACGGCAGAATTTCTTGTTGCTCTCCTTGAGCTCTTCCTACAACATAAAAACAAACAAATGAAGCAATCCCTTTACAACTCTGCTCCATCACCCCGTTTGTGTCATGTCTTCCACTGGACCCCTGCCTGGTGTACCCATCTCCTCTCTGCCCCCCACCTTACCCTGTGTATTGCCTGGTTTTGTGTGTCTACTTGACACAAGCTAGAGTCATCAGAGGAAGGAGCTTCAGTTGAGGAAATGCCTCCCTGAGATCCAGCTGTACGGCATTTTCTCATTTAGTGATCAATGGGGAAGGGCCCAGCCCGAGGTGGGTGGTGCCATCCCTGGGCTGCTGGTCCTGGGTTCTATAAGAAAGCAGTCTGAGCAAGTCATAGCAAGCCAGTAAGCAGCACCCCGCCATGGCCTCTGCATCAGCTCCTGCCTCCTGGATCCTGCTGTGTTTGAGTTTCTGTCCTG